TTGTTTCCTGCTCCTCCATTGGTCATGTTTCACTTGTTCTGTGAATAAAATTAAGATTTAGTGACTATGTCCAATCCATCAATCATTTTTTTCCCCATAAATTATCTCTTTTTATGGTGCCACTGGCGGAATTTAGAATCACAAATCTAAATTAAAATGCTTGGCTTTTGTACTTTTTAGTCGATTTGTGATTTGGCTACTTTTTGGTTCAGAATTAGGAAATCTGACCAATCTCCTGATGGGCCCAAATTGTGTTAAACTGTAGGTATGCATATGTATAGAATTATGGGAAAATGGCCAATTGCACCTGAGGAAGCCAATCAAGGCCAGACCGCAATATCAGTACAGAAAAGTGCTTCGACAGGGATAGATATGGTTCCAAAAATACTGGGGACTTCAGCCCAAGGCAAAACTTAATCTTGACTCACCCATGGCCATTTGTCAATGCCACCCCTTAACCATTCTGGCTTGATCATTCAGACTCTGCCCCAGTTGTCCTCTGCTGAGACTCGAACATGCCTGGCTTTTACCAGTCCCTGTCCTTTAAGATCTTGCCTATCACCAAGCAGAAAATTAATGCTCCCCCTACCATTGTTTAACCATCTCTCCACACCCAACATTTTAAATTTTCCAACAGCTTAAAAACAAGAACTCTACCCTTATCAGTTGTGGAACATTCATCATGCAGCTTTGGCAGAAGACATGGTCTTAACTTTATATAACACTTTTTGGCATTAATACCAGGCAGGCAGTCTGGCTGCTGGCACATGTACACACATAGATTTCCTCCTAGTTTGCTTGACAAGTGATTTAAAATTGATTTTCACATCATTAACAGTTAGTAAGCTAATCAGACTGCAAAGAAACACGATCCTGGTTATCTACAAATAAAACAGGATCTCTGTGTATGGTGTGCTTTGGATACAGTGAGCACATTCTTTACAGGGGGGCAGTTTCAATTTTCAGAGCAAAAATAAGCAAACTTCAGAAGTGGAAGCATTTACTCTATGGTTTGGAATTCCAAAGGAAGTAGAAAGTAAAATATATTACACATAATTTAGCAATAGGTCATCGCTTGCTTCCCATGCTCCATCTACTTCATCTTGTGTCTTCCCCACTTCCCTTAAACATACAATACTTACTCATAATGCCACCCATGCTCTGTATTACCAATTTTGCGATCTAAGTTCTCTTCTTAAGCCTCTTTAATATAGTTTCCACTCCCTACTGAAATGGCTCAAACTTAAGTGATCAATAAGTTACTAATGGCTGAAAACAAAGGTAACTACTCCATACTAATTCTTATTGACCCTACTGCTGTTTTCTATACTGCCATTCACACTGTCCTTGAAATCCTTCAATGACTAGACCTTCTTGGCTCTGTTCTCTCTTGGTTCTCATCTTCTTTCAATCTCTCCTTTTCTAGAAACATCTCCTTTCGAGCTGTCTCAAATGGAGTCACTCAAATCTCTATTCTTGGTTCCTTCTGTGTTCTCTCTATATTGCCTCTATTGGCAAACATATAGCCTCTTTGGATTCCTGTTACACCTTAAATGTGGATTACAATCCTATATCCAAGATGGCAGGAGAGATATCATGGAAAGAGAGGTCTTTTCCCCTTATATCTCTCTTACCATCTTGGCTTGTGTCAGTAACTTTCTCTATTCAAACTGGTTGTCTTCCCATTTTATAAAACTTTGTATTTCCAAAACTGAGCTTCTTGTCATTCCTCTGTTAAAACTAACACTCTTCCTGCTTATCATGGATACACCTATCAGCTCAACCTTCCAAGCTCACTGCCTTGGTATAATTCTTCATTTTGGTCTCACTTTTACATCCAGTGAGCCTCAAAATCTTATTTTTTTAAGTCTCTAAGATATTATGCACATGAGTCTTTGTTTAAGCCATATTGTGTATAAACACATTGGTAAAGATGATCATTGATAATAATGAAATAAAATACAATAAACAAAGGATTTCTAGCACTTCTGACATGTCGATAGCCAGCTAGCACAACCCAAGCCAGAGTCTCTTCTTTCTGGTAGTGGATCTAATAAGATGAGACAAGGGTCGCGGCACCTTGTAGATGTCCAGATAGTGATCATATAAAAAAATAATAGGACAGGAAACACCATATAGTGTAATATGTTCTTCTATTTGGTGAAGAAAATATGGAAATGCACTTAGTTTTGTGGAGATTCTGATCAGCTCCAATGGTGAGCCAATAGTGCTCACTGGTAAAAACAGTAATACAATAAAAGAAAGAAAAAGTTACTCACAAAGAGATAAATATTCAATTTTGACACTGACATACTTCCTCCAAAAATCATGCTGCACCAATATAACCACAGACGGGGATCATACTGCCCAAGCGTTATTTGGAGCTGATCAGAAGCTCCAATAAACTGTAAGTGCATTTCCCTATTTTCTTTACTGAATATAAGAACACATTACACTATATTGTGTCTCTTATTTTTTATGTTCTGATCACTATCTGGACTGGAGGACACCCACAAGGCGCTGGGACCCTTTTATCATCTTGTATTGATAATAATTAAGCTGTGAATCTTGCCACTGCAATGCACAAACAGTGAGAAATTAGTGTCCATCCAATCAAGTGCAGTGAGTATAACAGTATCCTCTACTATAGTGTACAAGGTCTATCTCCTACGCAAAGGTCTGAAGAAAGACAAAGATAGACCACCTACATCTTTTAACCCGGGAACCCTAACTTGCTAAATTCCTTTAAGGGAATTAACTTTGCTTATTTTTGGAAACTGGACTTCTTTAAAATGATCCTCGCACACTAATTTAATGCAAACTAAGATTTTGCTTAGATTAAAAATAGGTGTAGTCTAATTTATAAACCTATTTTCGGTGATCAATAATTTGGTACAGCAGATGTTTGTGAACATCTTTTGAACTGGCTGAGTATGAAGGAAAATGTAGTTTATAAATTTAAATTAATTTAGTTCATAAATATGTTAAGGCTTACTGGGGTGTTAAGGCTTACTGTTACTGGTTTAGTAAGTAGATACAAATCAAGTAGCCTTGCAAAAAACCTAAAAAAACTCTTTTCATTGACATAAATGTTGAATCATTTTTTTCCAAATGTTTAAAATCTTGTTTATCTTAAAAATAATGTAAAAAAAAATCATAACAAACATTAATGAAATTATAAACTACCTGAATTAAATTAGGTTTTTTTTTCTATACACCGAGTATTGTATTGAACTTCCTGCGCTTTTAACTGCACACAATAGTTTATCTTACAAAAATGTTGGCCTATTTCCTGCAAATTGGATTGTAATCAAGACATAAATCTAAAGGAAATTCCTGAATAACTCAGACAGACTGTAGCAATGTTCTTTTACAATAAGAGAATGCATTGAAGATAAACCATAAGCAGAATACATTTCTTCTGCATGAAAAACTACATTGTTGAGATGATAATTTTCTTGAGTTTTCTTCCCTACAGAAAATAGAGTAGAACTTTTTTTTTTTTTGCCATTGGCAACTTCATCTTCTTTTGTGAAGGCTGGCATATGAAATAAGCAGAAGGTCTTCTTCTAATGAAGAAATCTGTCCAAAGAGGAGAGAGAGAGGTGGCCAAAATACATAGAGTTCATGTCAGAACTAAGCTGGGAAAATATCACAGTTTTAATAAGGTCTAATGTCTGGCAAAAACATCCCTAGAAATGGCCTTGTGTTTTTCATTAGCATAATACACAATATTGACCTATGAAATCATTGTATCAATGTAGTTTTTCAAATCCACATGTATTTTTTGTGTTCGAAATACATACATATGTGAGATGACATTTATTCTAACAAATTTGTTTAATTTTCAGAAAATTCTATGTATCTGTTTAAAAATTAAAAACGTATTTTTGTGATGAGTGTTACACAAAACACTAAGATTTAAAATTGTAGTGAATTTGCACTTGTCATCTTAGATATACTTACAAACTTATCTATTGCAACTGAAATGCAGTGATTAGCTCAGCTCAACTGAAATCAAATTAATACCGTCATAGCATTGAGACATTATTAACAGTAGCCAAATTAACAACTGGATTCATGTAGCCCAATTCCCCACTGATCTACAGCCTGCCTCCAACCTCACTGTGCCTAGTTCCCAAAAAGGGGCCAGACATCTCCTATAACACCAATACAATGGTTTCATTACTAGTATATGAATGCTTCAATGGAGTGGGGTCTGCTGTCACTCCAATCCTATAAAACTTGGGCAGCGAATAAGACTCAAGAACTACAAGGATCGTTCTCGATGTCCAAGTCACACCAAACTGCCCATCAGTCATTGCCACTCACTCACTAATATGTAGACATTATAGAAATGGATAGATGGATTTTCACCTCTAAATATCATTCAAGACCAACTTGTTGCATCCATGTCAAGTACCCATTAGAACAGTGGTAACATCATAGCTAAGACTTGGGAATCCTGGTCAGACTGCCTTACCAGTAAGCATCCTTGGGCAAGATACCAATATATATCCCCCACATCAACTGATCATTGTTTGTAAGCTCATTGGAACAGTCTTCTTTACCTCTAAATATCTCCTTTCTGTAATTGTAAAGCACCGTGGAGTATGTTAGAGCTATGTAAATAATAATTACTCAGTCTCTACATCGAGTGTATTTAGCAGATTGCACAGTAAGTGGAGCTTCAGATGGTCATGAGAAGTACAATATTTCACCGTTAACTGTTTACTCTCTGACTCTATTGAAGTTTGTTATTCTGTTTTCATCTAATGCCTGTCAGTTCCAGAACGTATAATGCCATCTACTCATTGCAATGCTTCTTACAGGAAGCACAACTATCAGATTATGGGCCCAAGTCATGAAACAAATCTGTAATTAAAAAAAAAACAAAAAAAACAAGTGTTGCTTTTTGATGCAAAGCAAAAACTGCAGAAAGTGAATGGAGATGTGAGCTACGTCTAATTACTGGGAATAAGTTAGAAAAGAACCCTATATATTACCATCAAGTAATAAAACACTTCTTAGAGGTAAAAATAAATAAACTTTATTTTACCTCTAAGAAGTGTTTTATAACTTGATTGTAATCTATTGAGATTTGAACCAATATAGGGTTGTCTTCTCATTTGTTTGCAGATACATAATTAGGGTTATCCCTGTTTTGATTACTAGTTAACACTTTAGTCTTAGGTATAATAATTTTTGTGTCCGATTGCCCTCTTTTTGTATATATCTAACTAACTAATGAAAGTAAATAGAAAGAAAATGGCAAGCAGGACAGAAATAACATTTACACTATAAATCTCTATAACAAACCCAGACAGTTAGATACACAAGGTTACTCACTAAAATGGGAAATCAAGGTGAATTAAAAGTGAATTTCAAATTGAACGTCAAAATTTTTGGTTACTCTGGCACTAAATTTAGATTTACTTTGAATTCACATGGATTTCTCACTTTAGTAAATAACCCTGCCAAAATCAGGAAGAGTCTGTAAAAGTCTAGCGAGACATAACTTGAAAGAGAGACACATACAGGGTAATCACTGAAGTGAAAATTCTAAATTAATTCAAAGTGAATTTCAAACTCAGACTAGAGGTCAGAACTCAAACTAGAGTTGAACTGAAAGCAGAGCTCCCTTTTACTAAATAGCCCCGTGTATGTTTAGAAAAGTTCTAGTAACACTTAACCAATCAAAATAAGGCATGCAGTGACACCCACAGGGAATACAAACCAGAATGTCCATGGTTTAAATGAAATATTATGCTGTCCTTGTGTATTGGTAGGGAACACTACATATCAGTATTGTGTTTTTGGATGTTTATTAATCAGTTACTGTAGGTATGAGTATCTATTCTACAGTAAGTAAAACGTGTATATTCAGGAGCTATTTGTGTTTTCCACAATGGAGAATATCTGCCTCAATCTGTTAAAACTCTTTAAAGTCCATGTCTAGTGGTGGCTTGCAATCACTCTGCTTTTGTGTCACCAGAATTAATTAAACTTATTATTGTTAAATAAAATAAATGAGCATGCACAATGAAGTAAATATAAAAACGCAGATAGCATAACTAAATATAACTAAACATTGAGGCCAACTCTTTGTCACAAGGAGCTTGGTATATAAGCCATAACTAAGTCCTCACAGCTTCTTTGTTCCTTTTGTTTAGAATGGTTTGTGTTTTGTTTTGATTCATTGTAAATGGATTCCAAATGTCTCTTGTTTAGTGTCTCTGTCTCATCCTTGCAATTAAAGATATTTTTGGGTCTAGGACTTCCGTTCCACCTGAGTGAATAAAAGCACATTCTAACATTATTCTAAATAGCATCCCAGTCGTATTCAATGGTGTTGCTATACCACTTTGTATAACTCTTTAAAGGACAAACACTTTTGTTAAATAAAACAAAACACAAAAATGCATATATGGGAATTTTACAAAATCATGATTCATATTTAGAGTTATTACCCTTTTATTCTTTTTGTGGTTACACCATTTCATTTTATAAGACTGTGAGGTTTCCGGTAATCTCTGAGAATTGGTTTTCCTGGCTAATCATGGCAGCATCACTTATGGGTAGCTCCGCCCCTAGCCAGATGACAACAGGATTAACTAAAAAAGTAAGGAGAGAGCGACACATTGTGATTGGAGTACACTCCAATCACATACACTTAACTGGCGTCTTTACAAGCACTTTGGGAGGTGGGAAACATGACTGTGTCCACTGTGAGCAGACCAAAATGGGTACTTTATTGGGACATACCTATCCTGGGGAATCCTAGGAAGAGGGCCAGAGGACACCTGGATAGTTCTGAAGGAGCCTGGTAGTGAATTTGCCCTCCTGCCCTTAGTGCTGTTTTAATATAGCATTGGTCTGGTGTTTTTTATGTTCTTACTCTGTATTTTGACACAGTTTGTACAACAGGTAAATGATAAATAGTATGACATAACACTAGCAAACAAATAATTAATAAAAATAGCATGCAATATAACTGATATATAAAACAGCTCCCCTTAAAGATTGTGGGCGAGATGGAACCACTTGGAGCTGGAAGGGGTAGGTGTTAGAAGCATAGGAGCTAACTGGGTCTGAGTATGCCCAGTGTCGGCCTGAACGGGTCAGTCATCGGTGGCTTAGAATAAGAAAAAAGGAAAAAGAAAAGGGGGAAGTCCCAACAGAAAAGTTGTCCAAGTTAGGTGATCACCACGTTAACCACTCCTCTAAGTACTGGAGTAAATGGGGTGATGTTGGCCGGATCCCAGGTAGTGGAAGTGGATTGAGAAGTTGGGCTAAAGCACAGGGAGGACAGGATAGTGTCCACTTCTGAAACATTGGTCACCCTATGATCTGTGCCATTGTACTGGAATATCAGCATGCAGGGAGCGCCCAAACAGTATTTCAGGCCATGGGACAAAAGCGAAGTAGTTAGAGGTCTGAGTGATTTCCTTCACTGCAATGTTGAGTGAGAGAGGTCTGTAAGTTCCATCTCCTCGGATTTATGGGGTCTGTCCTCTGGAGGCATTCAAGATGGCTGCCCTATCTTGCCCCTTTTAAAAATTTGACCAGTAGATCACCGGAGGTCAAAGTTTGGATGGACTGTGGAGTGGGCAGGCGAAACATGCCATTCAGTTGAATGTTCCTTGCTGATTTAGGAGGTAGCAGGGCCATAAACAGCCATTGCAGAAAATGTGCTATAATAGTATACTACTGTAATTTTTTTGGCTCAAAGAAGTTCAATTCCTAAACTGGGAAATAAAGACTTCTGAGATGAAGTTGAAAATGTCAGGCAAAAATAGCATAAATACTGGAGAAATAGTTGAAGGATCTTTTCAAATTCTCTTGTTAACTAGCCACAATTGCCAGTATTCTGGACAAACTTCAGAATGCCAAAGGTGCTTTAGGAAATGGCCCACAATCAGATTAATTAATATATTTCTTTAGTTATTGGCTACTGTAAGGACTGAGGCTTTGCACCATGGAAGATGTAGGCAATTATCTAATCAATGTTTCACATTTTGAAAAGCAGTAGTAGAATATAACAGACGCCATATAGATTCTTCTTAATTCGTTTTTTTGATTGATGGTGTCCACATGGCATATTTCAGGGTTAAAGACTGCACATGTCTTTGAAAATGGCAAAGCATGTCAGAAATTAAATATTGATTCATTGTCGTACGATTTCCATAAAAATGTTGTGTTGTTGATTTGCAAGAAGATCTGCAAAGGGTGCGTGTTTTTGCAGTATGTTCCAGACTACTGACTATTTACTTTCTATATAGAGCAAATTTTTTCCTAGTAAGTCGAAGATTATGCTAAAAAAAATAAAAAATCACAACTGATCTAAAAATTTAATTATCATTTTAAAAACACTTTTTCATAAAAAAAAATGTTGACATTGATTTCACAGACTATCATTAATAATAGTGGGAAAGATTTGAGCCTAGGTTTTAAAGTTATTCTATTTAGCGACTATTTGGCAGTGTACTGTATTCTGGATTATGTCATTTCTATCCTTTATACTATGTCTTGTGCATCTAAAAACGACATTCTTGTAAGACCTGCGATAACGTTCATGTGAGCACTGGTTTTCATCAACACTTTAGAACAGAAACTCGTTGGTATTCTTTTTAATTTGTATTGCAATCCAAGATAGTCAATTTTTTCCTTTTTTGCACCAAAATAATCCTTACAGGCATTCCTTTTCCATTCAGATTTTTTGTTTTGTTTGTTTTGTATCAACAATCTGTTGTTTCTGAAATAAGCTGGTTCAAAAGTGTGCCCTTTCTTTCCATTAAATGTTTTCAAATATAAAGACATGACCCAAAATGGGTTACGACAAAAAAATAATCCTCTAATAATCAGAGAAATCCCAATATAGTGGTTCTCCCTATCAAACGGAAAATATAGTGTTCTTTACTACCTATGGGTGATTATGAAATCTTCCATGTGTTTGATGACAAAGTGATAATATTTGGGTAGGGCCTCCAAATGCCCCTAATACATTCTCCTCTCCTGTTCTTTGTGGAGGAGTGTGAAAAGATATAAGGTAGCTGCTGGGTTTCCAATGCCACTAAGTAATTTCATGAGAGAACCAGGGAATGCCTGTCCCAAGTAAAAAAACTACCAGTTTGGCCAAGATTCTGCCAAGTCAATTTAGTCCTACATAACCCAGACACATTCTTACTTTTAATCAGGTAACGGCCCATAAGCTTGCAAGATGAAAAAAAATCTATAGAAAATTCATATTGACAATATAGTGCCTTGTCACAGAAGGTAGTTTTTAGTTATAGCTCATTGCCTCCTAATGTGCTAACCCCCCTCCCTTTGTCTCTGCTTATAGTGATTGACTGAGCAACTGGAGTAATAAACATGTGGACTCACAAGGAAGTACCTAACTCATGGTGTGTCCTAGTCCTCACTAGAAAGGTTGTCACCAAAGCAAATTTAATCTCCTCCTCACTAGCCCCACCAAGGGGCATATTCTACATAGCCACAAAATACTGAATCTAGACACTTAGACATTGAGTACTTGCACAATGAGTAAATAATAGCTGTACGAGAGAAGGATCTAAAAAAACATTATTTTAATATTCTGCTTATGCGATATAGACTACAAAAGCAAACATTTCCAAAAGTAAAAGAGGTCAGAACATCAATTAAATAAATATCTGAAAGGCGCTATGGTCAGGTGACAAGCTTCCATTTAAAATTCATGTGCTAGTTATTCTTTAACATCGTATCTTATACATATAAATAGGTCTATTCACATTCCCACATTGTGTTTTACTAATAGCTTACCAATCTTAATTAAACTTTCTCTTTAGAAGTTATGTTTCTTTACCTACATCCAATGTTTTTCAGGACCTCTTAATTATCGCCATCGCATCTTGCATTTGTTATTGAGCCTGTGATTAATTCTGTTTGATTTAAAGGAGAGCTCCAAATTCTTAAAGATAAAATGCTTTGGGAGTTAACAGAATGTCCCCCTCTTTGTCACATCATAAAATTAAGATTTTAAGAGATGGCCTGGTAGAGGTTTCTTCACTACCATTGTGTAGTATTTTTTTCACTTGAGAGTGATAAGCACA